TTTACTTTTTAAGAAAAAAAATATTTTTTTTACCAACCTTATCATTATTTATTAAATTTAATTAATTATCTTATTACAAAAAAATTTATTTTTTTTTAATATTTTTAAAAATAATATATAAATATATAAATTATTCTTAATTATACCCTTACAAACTTCATGCACAAATTCTCTTTAAATTTTTAATTAAAAAATTAATTATATATATATTTTTTGAAAACCTACCCTTTCTCTTGGGGCGGCTGCTCAAGAAGATCCGCATGTTGACAACAATAATTCGACGTGCGTTTCCCGCGAGTGGAATTATCTCCTAACGGAGAACGAAGTGATCATAAATCAATCAATCGACTGTACTTTGGCTTCAAAATCCAACCATTCAAGGTCTGCTCTTTTAACTCCGTTTTTGCTTTTGCTGTTACTGTTGTTAATTCCCATTTTTCATGGGTTCATCTCCCAAAGTCATTCCCTCTCTTACCTTTTGTCATTTCTCACCCTTTTATTCATAAGCTCACCCTTTTCCCTTTAGATGATTGTTTGTGTTCTTTGTTGAAATTGGTTTCCTAATTTCTACTTTTTGATTTATTAATAATGATGGTCATTCAATGTCAGCTGCCTTTTCTAGTTGGGTTTCCTTCATTTAATTAAATAAAACAATCCTTATTCGAATCCCAGCCCTTTTGCAATCGAAATTCAATAACCCCATTTCGTTTTCAGGCCATAGATTCAATTATTAATATGCTAAAGTTTGAGTCTTTGAATGCAAAGATCACATCTTTCACGTTCATCTGAAAAAAAAAAGAAAAAAGAAAAAAAGAAAAAAGAAAAAACATCTTTCACGATTTTTCCATGTATATTCTGTTTTTCCTTCTTAATAATTGCATTGGTTTAATTAAAAATTAATATTTAAGAAATTTCGAAGCCAATTGGGTGTACAACAAGTGACCAAATACTAGTTCTGACCTGAGAAACAGTTGGCTTTTCTGGTTAGGCAGTAGGTGGTGGAATGTTTGGGGAATGGCTGGTCTACCGGTAAAACGTGTTCTTGGAATTAACGGTAAAGATGAATTTAAAGCTGGGGAGAACACAAATAATACTGACAATAACAAGCAGTCTCTAAGCAAGGCAGCTTTGGCTGTGAGAGAGGAGAACGATAAGGTTGGTGAGAGAGAAATGGTTACTCCAACAGGCAGTTCAATTAAGCGGTCCAGTTCCAGGCCCCAGCTAGACCTCAGTAAGGCTGCCATTCAAGGCAATTCTGAGGAGAGGGATCCTACCATTCTGCTGCCAAATCAATCTGATGATATTTCTCATTTGGCTCTTGATATTGGAGGTATATGGTCATTCACATTTCAGCTTTTGAATAGTATGTTGTTGGGTTTTTTCTTTTTTTTTTCCCCCTGCTGTTTCTTCAAATATTTTCTTGGTCAAATTATGGGATGTTCTTGCATGGGGGTTTTCATTGATTTCTTGAATATTTTTCATTGTTCATTTTTGCTTTTGCCTTGGAATGAACTATTTTTGGAGGTGGAACTTCATATTTTTTGGGTTACACATCAACGCTTGTTGTCTGCTCCTCTTCTTCTTCAGTAATTTTTCAGTTGTCATTGTGCAGAGGAAGTTATGCCCACTAGTTCTATGATGAATTATCATGGAATTAATGATGAGGAGAAATTCAAATGGAGCAGATTATTAACTATATTTGGTGTGACTCTTTAGGATTTTAAGTTGTGTCCAAAAGATATTACATGCCTAATTAGGGCATGATATCTTTCTGATGAATTATAAATGGTTCTATGACATCGGTAAGGGGGCACCGTTTTGACCATCAACAATAATGTTATGGCCATCAAAACTACAAAATATTGTCTTTAGAAATATTGATTTTGTTTAATTTAATTAATAAAAATGACAAAAAAAAAAAACTATAACTATAGAACAGTTGATATTATTAGCTAACAAATTAAAATCAGTCAATAAACTGATATTTTCAGACACTTTTTAAGAAGAAAAACCAAAATTTTGGTGTCTTTAACAATTTTTATGGTGGCAATAACCACACCCTCAGTAAGGCTCCTCTTTTTCCATTTTTCTTTCCTTTTGTGTGCGCATTAGGACCATAATTCTCCAACTGCAATGCAAGAAGTCTAGGAAATTGAAACTGTTGGAAGTCTTTTTATAGTATTTCTGATGCTTGGATGCTATTGCATATTGCTTTTTTCACAGGATCACTCATCAAGTTGGTGTATTTTTCAAGGCATGAAGATCAATCTATTGATGATAAGAGGAAGAAGACTGTCAAGGAGAGACTGGGAATCTCCAATGGAAACAGGCGAAGCTATCCCATCCTTGGTGGAAGATTGCACTTTGTGAAGTTTGAAACAAGCAAGATAAATGAGTGCTTGGATTTTATTTCTTCCAAGCAGCTTCATTGTGGTGGGATATTTACTTATTTCTTTTACTTTTCATCTTTTGTTAATCTATTTTCCTTTGTTCATCTGTTTTTTTTTTGTGTTCTTTGTTTTTAAGTAGGAACTAATTCCCTCTGGTGGACTTCTGATTCCCCATCCAATGAAAATGCTGTTAT